GCGCTCTGTATACGATTTTAGCGCCTTACAAGTGCGGACACTTTTTAGCGCGGACCCGACGTCCATATAATTGTAAGTCAATGTTCACATCACATACATTTATAAAAAATAAAATAAAAGGGGGGATATTGTACTGTAACAACATTTTTGACAGAAAATGGTTTTTAATAGACATGGTAATTATAATTTAATATTGTTGATTTGTATAAATTTGGACAGGGTATTTACAAAAGGACTATGAACTTGGGTCAAAAGAATGGTAGATTAATGGGGCGGGGCATATTTTTAGGGAGCAGGTCGTACAGGTGGACTCTTATGTTTGTACATTGCAAAAATATATGATCTAAAGTGTCCTCCTCCAGTCCGCATTCATAAATGGAATTGTCTCCTGCCGTAATCTTGGTCAACAAAACTGGTGAAGTTATGTGCTAGGCGCAGTCGAATAATTATAGACGTTACCAGTTTATTTAGGTTTCTGCGCTTAAAAAACCAAGGCCGACGAGGTATGTCCGGTTGACGTTCGTTATGGTTCATATAATTTCGTACATTACAAAAATTCCGGCGCCCGGAACGCTCCCGCGGCCGTCTCTGTGTGGCCTGAGCATTATCCCACCTGACCATATATTTCATCTTTATATTGAAAATTTTCGAACAATGTGTGAACATTCAAGATATTTATTGAATACTGAACGCGCAGGTCCTCCGTCCGACTGATCGCCTGACGTCACTCCTGCCGACCATCGAGGAGCAACACCTCGCCACCGAAGCGTCGCCAACCAGGAACAGGTAATTTATTTATTAGTATATTTGAGGACGTGTTTCGTCTGAAATTAGGGAATCACCGGTGTTTCCTCTCTTTTATAGACGCGCAGTTGGCTTGAGTTTGTCAGAAAACGCTCTAAGACCTTGCAAAAGACGTGCGACTGGAGATAACTATATACAGGCTGTATATTTGAAAGTGAGACGTATTCATACATGTTACAACTTAACATAGACTAAAATAAAATTAGGATATGGGATAGAACAAAAAATAAATCAACAAATTTGTTTTGAATAAACCGATTCCCTTTACGCTTGATTTCGAGTGCAATGTGAATACTACCAAGCGAGCGCCGAGTGTGTGTGTGTGTGTATATATATATATAGGTCGATAAGTCGCATTCTTGGTGTAATAATAATAATTGTTTATTTCAATCTGTATACCATACTAAGAAAATACAATTCATAAATTTAAAACATATCCAACAATAAGTTTAAAAAAAAATTTAAAATAGAATTTAAAGTAATTATTATTATGAACAATAAATTATAAAATTAAAATTCAAGACTATACAATCATCAAATCAAAATTAAAATACAATCAAAATTTTTAAATTAAAATTAAAAATTTTCAATGTGATTGTATGATTATGTTTATTGAATGTCAGGATATTCAATTACTTGTTGTGATATTACGCCACTAGTTTGTTATAATTATTAATACAAAGAATTAACGAACACTTAGTAAAAAGTCCTGCGACCCGTCTGGATTCGAACCAACGTCTTCTAGCAAACCGTGCGTGTTGGTCGCTCTACCAACTAAGCCACGTAACGACTATGTACTTATTGCAGATCTCTGTTTTGGTTTTTACGCCAAAAGTAGCGCCATCTGTGAAAAAAATTTGGCTGCGTAAGAAATAAATTTCTCACAGAGGTTATTAACCGACTGCAAAAAAGGAGGAGGTTCTCAACTCGACTGTGTTCTTTTTGTATGTATGTTATGCGATAAATTTGTGAACCGGTTTTGATGATTATTCTTTTGTTGGAAAGAGGGTACCTCAGTAGTGGTCCCATTTAAATTTAAAGAAAATATTCCACCTCTTAAGGGTGGCAAACATTTAAGATCGGGTTTTTTTAGTACTTTGTACTGAGATTATAACGTTTTCATAATGTTGACGTATTCCAACAGATCGGGCAGCGAGAGCAGCGAAAATGAAGAAACATCCGATTGGCCACGCAGCCCCGTTTTACCGGTCTACTGTGACAACTGAACAACGCTTCTGGGATATACATTACACAATCCGTAAGCTCTGCCTATCCAACAATGCGTCGAAGCTACACAACCGCCAACTTAGCTGTGAGTGGTGTCTTTAGTGTGTGCGGTGTTAGTAAACCTTAGCGGCTTAGAGTTCACAAATAAGTTGGCAGCACTGATTAAGTTGTAATGCATCAGTCTCTGCGTGGTGGACGGTCTTACATCCTTTCAAAGAAGAGACAATAAGTTGGTTGCATAGGTGCAGTATAATAAAGGCAGCTACGAGCAAAAATATCCAGGAGAACCGAGAACCCAACAAATCGATGCCTCACTTACTCAAACTCGTATCTTATAGTGAACTTACTATTTATTTTAAATTTCTTATCAAGTCATTGCCATCTCCTAAATAATCACTCGTTATAAGATACGAGTTTGAGATAGTAAGGCGACAAATAGTAATTAGTGATCCCATTTTTGATGATATTAAAAATTCCGTGATCAAACTTCGAATGCGCGATTATCAGAGTTAGAATGGGCGTTAGTTTAATTTTAAAAATAAATAAATGAATTGAGATTACAAACCAGAGAAGTCTGTAATGTTATAGACACGATGTTTACACCTAAGTCAAAATAGCATTTTGTTTTTTTTTTGCTTTTTTAATATAAATATATTCTTTTTTTATGTATATTATAGGTTCCATATATAAAAGTAAAGAAATCACTTAGTGTTAAGTTTATTTTCAAATATGGAAACTACGATATATATAAAAAACTAAATATTTAATTTAAAACTTACAACAACTTACGTGTGAGGTATCAATTTAGTTTTATGCGATGTGCAGATTGCGTAGTATATGTAGATTTTGTTTTTAAGAAAGGAAGCCTTTCCGAGCCAGTGAGGTGTAAGGATTGTTTTCACTGTTGTGGAATGGTTTTAAATCGTTTATTATTATTTTATAATTCACGCTAAATAATATAAGCTTTCGAAATTATATTTTTCTAATTTTTCGGTATTTTTTCCGGAAAAATCTCAACTATCTGAAATTCTTTGAGAACAGCAGTGTTTTGCGTTGTGCTAGTCCTACAGGACAGGAATGTTACATCGTGCGATCGTTCCTTTCCTGCACCACTTTTTCCAAATGTATATGGGTCGCTTACCAGCGGAGGCTCTGGTTTCTAATCTCAATTTTTGGCACTAGACAATATTTTCTACAAATAATAAAAATATTTCAATATTCAATTTATTGAGGTGCAATCGATATAAACTCTTCAATATACATTTTTTAAAGATTTTTAAGTCGTAAAAATTAATTGAAGTATTATTATTTTTTGGTCTACAATCCGCGTGGAATACGGTAGTTTGGTTAACGCCTAATAAGTACCGACCAGTTAATAAGGTCCACCAGAAAGTATTTATATAAACTAACTCATAAATCATAGCCAGAAGTCTGAATAGGTTGAGTATGTTTACCTAAACATGCACCTTCAAATTAGGGCGCTACTACTAATTTTCATATAAGATTTAGAAGCGCGTCTGCAGCGCCACTGTCACGATTGGTGAACTAAAAATTACTGAAGCAAATAGAGAGAGAGCGCGTCTATAGCAGACGCGCAGCTGTCGCGCTACCGTCGCGCTAGTGCAGCACTTGTACAAGCGTCCAATTTGAATGCGCCCTTATACATAGAGTAGATATTACCTTCCTCTGAAATCGCGAAATAATAAAAAATACAAAATAGTTATATTTTTTACTTACAATTACATTTTTTTTATAATATAAAACAAAATACAATGATTCCGAGATATCAGAGGAAAGCATTAAGGTGTCACCAGACTTATTGATGAAGAAAACTACTCGAGCCGGTCAAAAAAATACGCCTTTTTATAATTCTTTATTGCACATATAAATGGCATTAAAAACACATGTTACAAAGAATATGCGAAGGTTATCTCTAGAAAAGATCTCTTCCAGATAACCCTAGACGCGGTGAATAAAGTAAGTACGTCAAGTATATTCAATAATAGCAAAAAAGCTGATACCGACGACGCTATTGAGACAGACAAAACGCACGTCTTTTATTGGACATAGTAAAGATTTTTTGACCGCCTCAAGCTTAGTCAATGAATGTGGTGATTGACTACTTTATCTAGGTGGATATAGTCTACATAATTCGGATCTCGTGATCCTAACTTTAACACCAGCTGACTACCCGCGTAAATACAGCTCGTTTGTGATTCTGCCTTTTGGGCTGCTCCAATGATTTGTTGATGAAGAAAGACGGTATCAAAACCAACGCGGTTGTTTATGCGCGACTGTAATTTCGATTTATGAGTAAAGTTGTTTTTTTTTTTTATTAAATTTCAAAAAGATATAATCAATTCATAACCTAATGTGCGTTAAGCAGCTATCTGTTACAAAGGAATACTTGTGTGGATTTAATAATGGCATGTCGAATGGGCAACGCTTCTTTCATCACCAAGCCAATATCGCGAAGAGCTTTATTAGTTAAACTGTTAAGAAATTAATATAAACGAATAAAAATGAGGAAGAAGCGATGTTCTTATACCGTATAGACAGACAGGGGTGGTATTTAGTCTGGCTGGACTAGCTGCATCCCCTTCGGTGCTATTTACGAGCTCCAATAAAAAAGAGCGAAAACGTTTCAATATCTTTCCAGTGAATAATTAAAAACATTAGTATTTTTACAATAATATCTTTGACTTACCGAGTTTCGATTGACCCTTACGCCCAGAGATGGGCAAGTGCCCATAGCGCCCGAAATAGTGTGAAGAAACTATTTGCTACTAAATATTTATTGTAAATCGAGTTTTGTTCAAATATTATTGCTTTCTGGTCTAGACGACTTGAATTGCGGCAGTCTATTGAATTCATTCGGTTGAAAATTACATTAAAATAAATTCAGTATGCACTTGAATTGATCTTTATAAAAATCGAATTGTAATGTGCATGAGAATTCAACGTCGATATCAAGTGACTTATCGAAATTTGCCAAATTCGTATTCACCGCTTCCCCCCACGATTTTGGGCAGAAATTAATAAAAACTCGGTTAGAACACGGGCGGGTTGATTGGGTTTCCCACTGCCCATCTCTGCTTAAGCCTGACTACAGTCGGTATTTTAGATAAACGTTGGTTCCAGCTTCAGTTTTAACTACGGCCCTTGTCACTGCTATAGCTTTCTTACTGTGATGATTTTTATAAGAAAAAAAGTTGAAAAAATAAATTCCATATTTTTTCCTAGTTTATAAGTTTTCAATTTAGGTTTGTGTGAACGCATAGGAAGTGAAAAAATCAAAGTCCACCGATTTTTCTTTATTAAATAAAAAAGTACATCTATCGTTTAATGTAGTATTACTTATTATTACAATAATATATTATAATTAAAATTTAAAAATAGCTATTAATATATTTTTCAGTTTATGATTGACTAACTTTTCTTTTGAGAGTTTAAAGAAAAAAAATATATATAACAATAAATTTGGCATTATTTTCCTTTATGTAATATTTCTTTAATTTAATTTCTTTTTTGGTAGAATAATTGTAATATTTGATACTTATTTTAATTACGCGTAGTAATAATTATAAAATGACAAAAAAAATACAAACCTTTTGAAAATCATAAAAAAAGTGATCTCAGATGACGTTTTTATAGTTGTCCTGTATAAAAATAATTTTCTTTTTCAATTATTTGAAAATAAAATGCGTAAGATTTTGTATGTGTGCGTTAATGCCTTGATTTTAATTTGCAATTAATTTCGCTTTATTACGTCTTAGAAACATGTACATGGCTTAGTTTCTATTCTCCTAAATACTTTTTTTTATTAAAACAGGCAATGAAATGAAGCTATTTCTAAATTTCAAGAACAACATTTATTAAAAAATATATTTAAACAATTACTTTCGCACTCTCAATAATAAATTCATTCGAATTCGAAATCTTTTGGGATACTGCCATAAAAATAACAAGAGCACGTGAAACTTGATATTTTCAATTTTATGCCGTTGACGATAAGTGCGATCCAGAATGCAGTCTCAAGCTTTTGATGTGCTCTTGCTTGAAAACTCTTGATGAAACTATAATGTCGTTTTTCATATAAAACAGGAGTTTGTTACATTCGGCACCAGCCAGATTGCATACGGCTGGTACCGTAATTTTTTTATAAAACTGTTGTCGCATTATGGACTGCGCGATTTGTGCATAAAACTCTGTGATAAATCTTACTTATAATAATTCCATCGTTTCATTGCTTGTAAAATTATCGGGTTAGTTTTATCAAACTTAATTTCGGTGGCAATTTTTAATATTTAGAGTTATATTATCGTGAAATATTACATTATATTTCAGGTTACTATTTTTAATATTTAGAGTTATATTATCGTGAAATAATACATTATATTTCAGGTTACCTGCACTCGAATATTGAATAATACTGTATGACGTAATTCTAGAATATTTTAATAAAAAATTGCCACAGAAATTAAATAGAAAAACCTAACTTGTAAATTACCCAAAAATAATATTTAGGAACATTTGTGGACAAAATTGGGGGTATGTCGCTGCCTTTCAAAAATAGCGATCCAAAGCAAAATAATTATTCAATCCTCTTACACTGTCTTGTCGATAAAGGAGTCACTACACTATATCTTTTCTACAAATATGGCCAAACAGATTTTTCTGACAGGTTTATGCCATACCGTGTCGACAAGTGTGGTCATTCCCTAAGACTCGAGCTTTTCATCGTTTATTGAGGTGATATTGGAAAAACATACTTATCATCGGGTTTGCTCACCAGATGTTTTAGTGTTTTTTAAACCAATTTAAAGTTAGCTGTTTTTGACGTCGCTATTCTAGAAAGTCATCGATGTGTTTATATAAAATTTGAATATCATGTCTTCTGAATTTAAACGCATAATTCTAAGGTATATATTAATATTTTGAAGTCAATGTGCAATTTGTAATGAAGAATATTATACAATACATAAAAACTCTGTTAAAGCTATTCTAAACGAAGTTTGTCTAGTCTTAAAACGTCCATTAACTTTAATGTTCCATCAAGTAATTTCAAATTTTTCAACAGCCGGCCAGTAAAATCTTTTTCTGACCAGCTCAAGCCGCATAAGTGTGATAACTCCTTGATACATTAAATTTAAAGAACGTTTTTGCGACTCGCTGTAAAAGTTACGGTGATGTTAAAGAGATAAATTGAATTTAGAAAAGTATTTCAATTTGTTTTCACCTCTATTGCATAAATATTAAAACTGTTTTCATTAAAAAAAAAAAATGTACTTAAATATGAAATACTACAAGCGTTTGTAACAATGACAGTTAGGGTCGAGTCACACCGAAAGAGCAGCATTTTTAATCTTACCGTCTAAAGAAAAAAAGTTCAAATTGAAGTGCGAGACTTGTAGCGACTAGTTCAAAGAGGCACCGCGCGCCGCTGCTGCAGTGTGACTTCACCTTTAGGTAGCAATGGTCATATGGGTGAAACTTAAGTTCTGTCTGCATTTAAACTGTAGATACACGTACATTCCCTATGCCATTGGTACTTGTCACAGTTTGTAAAAGTTCTAATTCGAATATTGAAATGTAATAGGGTAATTTTGAGGTTAGTGCTTAAACTAATTTAGGTGGCAATTTTTATTGTTTAAGTATTCGAGCATATTATCGTGAAGTATTCAATATTAAATATTGCCATCGAAATTAGGTAGAGAAAACTAACCTTAAAATTACCCAATAATCTTTTATGTTTAGTAGACAAGATAATTTTCTACATATTTGCTATAAAAAAAAAAACAAAATTATTTTTCTGCATTTAAAATCAAATCTGTATGTAGTTACTGTGCAGTGATGTGAAAGCGGGTACAATCGATAAAAATGGTAAACGTAAGCGCATTTACCCAGATATTTTAATATTGTTTAGTGTAATTAACAGTTTCTATTTCCACCGCTTTTATGACAGTATGTTATGCCCTTTATACGTTTTTTACCCATTTCTCATCACTAGTAGTGTGTGTGTAGTATGTGAGGTGTTGCAATTTTTTGTTGAAAATTGTAACTGCGATTCATGGTGTCTTGTGAAAATCAATCTGAAGTCTCGAATCAATGAGAATAAATGTTGGAATTCTTCGATTTTCGACGTTTTTTTTATTGCCCTTTTATTGATTTATAGCATGTAGAACCCTAACAGCATATAATAATACAAATATGGTAACTCTATACAAATGTAGCAGCGTGGCTTGTGATTGTGCATTCGAGTAGCACAGAGCGGGTCATCACACGCGCCATTAATTTAATTTTTTTATTATACCAAGTGACTGGACGAACAAGTCGTGCGCCTGGTGGTAAGCGACACGCCTGTTCATAACAGTTGCAGTGCCAAGAACTTTAAACCGCAAAGATCGGAAGGGCATTGTCACTGCGCTCGTCACTCTTGAGACATAAGTTGACAAGTCCGATGTGCTTGTAATTACACCAGTTCCCTTCAAAACCGGAACGCAGTAATTCTCACATTACTGCTGGCGGCTGAAATAGGTAAGGTGACATTACTTCCCTGGACGAACTATTGCTCTACTGCTATTAAAAATTATAAGCTTCAAGCGGTTGCTTGGTGTTGTTAACACCTTCGCCGTCCATGACTCTACTTGGGAGTTGGAAATTGGCTTCAAACAGAAATCCATGCATACCTAAGGAGTCGCAACTACATTACGTTATTTTGGTTGGACTTTTAGATCAAAGCGCTATTGGTTGAGGTTAAATTATGTTTTGTTCATCACACTTGCTCGTAAATAGTATGGTTGCATGGTGGCTAACTTGACTGTAATGCCCCAAATGGTCGGTAAGGAGTTTTTATTTATTTGTAGTACGATATACTTCCCTTAATCTGCTAACTAAAACACGGCAGTTTCGGCTATGCGTCGTTAGCGTAGGTTCCGATAAGTTGAACACGTTAACTAATTTTAACTCTTTTTAAAAGAGAATTTTGTGCTCTATTTTTTCTATTTAAAACGGATATTTGACCATTTGTCACTTAGCCGCTGTTTAGTTAGTGGACGGCAGATTAAGAGTCGTATTCCAGAACTCTGCTCAATGTTAAAGCAGGATTGCACTGGCAACACAAGGACTGGAAATACGACCCTAATGGCAGGGCCTTGAGTATGATTTCGAGTGCTTTAAACCATACTCAAATCCTGACTTGAGCATTGAGTAGAGTTCTAGAATACGGCCCTAAGTCAGGTTCAAGTTCAAGCAAGGTTACCAAAGTTACTTAAGTAGTTCAAAATTAAAACATTCGCAAATGTTATTTATACAGAAATTTAATCGCTGTTCAGCCATGTGGCTGTATGTACTGTAGTAGTATGTACTACTTATTCATTACTTATTAAAAATGTCTTATAATTTTGTTTTAATCATTTTCCGTATAAGAATTTAGCCAATTTTTTACAATCTTTGCTTTTTACATTTTACTTCCGAGTTGTATTATCTATGGAAGAATAGCTAGCTGGCCATCTGTTGTTAAAAAAAAAAACAAATACCCGCCATTTGCTAAATCCATAATTGTTGTGTTGTGAACCATATTTATTTATACGAGAAATTAACAAACGTTGTGTTTATTTTAGATTTAATGATGAAATACATTGTATCACGGACGGTAAAAAAAATATAAAACTCAGTTATTAAAGTAGTAATTTCTTATTTCTGTTGCTACACAAAAACTAGTGGTAGGTACAAAAATTTCTCACTAGTACCACTGTGAATCAACGTTTCGGATGCTTGAGGTCTACGGCTTCTCCGTCCGACATCTGCCCGAAAACGATTACTGTCAATAAATACTTGAGCAAAACAAAACACAACAAAGCTTCAATTGCGTCATGCGTTTTTAATATCATAATATTCTGTATTTATTGTAATAAAGATAATATCTCTAACAATGGCGTGTTGTTCTATTCGGTGGTGTGGGAAAAACAGCAAAACATCTAATTACAGAACAAACGGAATCATATTTCATCGGTAATTAAATGTGTAATTTTGCAATTTTCGTCCATTATAGCAAAGCTCAAGTTAACTGGTCGGTTTGAAGTGAAACAGTTGACGACACCCGTCAATTGTTTCGAACTCGGGCTCGCCAATCGGAGCGCAGTTGTCACAGTAATCATATGGCTGAATAGTTTTCAAACAGATTAAATTACATTTCGTCTCTGTTTCTGGTTATGTACTCGATGTTTAATATGGTTGAGCATTGACCTTGACCGTTGAGTATTACTTATTTAACAGTAATTCGACTCATCCGAAGAACAGAGTCCGATGTGATTATATAGCGAAAAGAGACTAAGTATGTTACGAAAATAATTTCATTATTCAAACTAAGGCCTAAGTGAAGGTGTTTTGAGAATTTATATATCTTATTTCGTTTCGGAAATATAAAATCGAACAACGGTCGTTTTGACATTCACAGCGAAGAACGAACGAAATGTACTATGTCCTGAGAACAGTGCACATAGATCTTTGTTCTACGGATGACTCAAATTGTTTCGGACGGATGTTAAACGGGAACGAGAGTAGATCCGGGAGCGGTACTTGTCGGTGATCCACAGTGGTACGTGATATGAAAGTAGATATTACTATTCGTAACCTAAAAAATCCTCTGCCGCGATACCTCGCCGACAATTCGGCATTTTCCACAGAGTGCTCTAGTGGGACATAAGAATATAAATAAAAAGCAAATTTATATTTATTAACAATGTTTTATTTGACATTAATTGTTAAAACCTTATTTATTATTTCAATAAAAATATATATATAATACAACATAACAAGAAAAGGGAATTGTCAACCCTGGTTACAATGTTTTTTTACTTTTTAATATATTTTTTAAAATGTCGTGAATAATCACGTTGTTCAGTGGATTACTACACGTTTAAAGTTCACCGTTGTTACAAAACTGTAACTAGTGATGTTTATACATTTTTAATATTTACAAACTTATGAAAGCTATTAACGCGCCTTCAAATAAAATGCTTCTTGCTAATTTTCATACAATATGTTTAATCTGCAAAAGCAGCGCGACAGTGGAGCTGCAGCTGCGCTTTTAATGTATGAAAATTAGTACAGTGGTGCCACTGCAGCTTCTATAAGCGTCTATAATTTGAAGGCACCCTTCTCTCTCGTTCTCCGCCCGGAATAATTACTGTTAAATAATTAATACTCCACCTAATTAAAAGATGCATGATGGGAATGAAGCTTCATACCCGACATTGTCTTTTAACTTATTTGACAGTAAATGTTTCGAACGGACGTTGGACAGACAACGAGAGTAGACACCTAGATACGTAATAAAAAAATTGTTATTACAACATGGTGGGTTATTCTGACCTAATTTTTAATTGCGGTTTATTTTTGAAAAATTATATCAGATCAATTGAAAAAAGAGATCATTTTTTAAATTAGCAGGTTTTATTGTTCAAAATGACTGTTGTTACAAACCTTGTCTGCTAATTTTAAATCATGTGAGCATTACTGTGTTCCGGTTTTGAAGGGTAAGGGTGCTGGTGAAATTACAGGCACATTGGGACTTGTCAACTTGTCTCAGGGCGACGGGCGCAATGGCAGTGCCCTTCAGATCTTCGGGATTGAAAGCACTGCAACTGATACGGACTCATTCGTCCCGTCATTTATTATTATTAAAAAATAAACTACTCGAGGGCGAAATCGATTTAGCGGCTTCCACACTGACCAAAGGAATTTACAGCGTAAAAATCCACAATTTGGAAGCACATTTAACATTTTTTTCAAAGAGAACCACGTTCATTGGTTTGATACTTAATATATTTGATAATTAACATAAAAACTAATGTCACAACACGAAATAATATAACTATGTACTGTAACGAATTATATTTGTTCTGTTTTATCATTTAGGAGACCAGTGCCAGACTGTGGCACGACCATTGAGTTGGTAATGCTAAGAAATAATTAAAACTACATTTTGTTTTGTTCGATATCAATTGTTCATGAACAAATTATAACCTCGATCCTTAAAACAAGTTTTCATAAGGTGTTGTTTTATTATTACACAAAAAAATTGTTTAAAATCTAGAATTACTATTTAAAATTAGTTATATCTAGTTATAAACTTAATGTAACGCCTACTTAAAAAAACCATATTAGAATTAAAAAAAAAGACATAATTTTTATCACTTTTTAATAAGGCTTCGGTCGATATTATTTACAAATCCACGGGCAACACAATCGGAAAAAAATGCATTTCTTTATCCAGGTCTTTATTTAGGATTTTGCCTGAAAGTAAAATCTATTATGTGCATTATTTCTAGTTCCAATTCAATTGTGAATTTAGGCTTATTGCGTTTATTGTAGATTTCACAACGCGTGAGTGTAGTTTGTATTAGAACCACAGAGTATATTCACTTGGGTGTCGCGGCTAGCGACTAAGGAATGGTTCCCTACTCTCGTGTAGCTTTCTTAGCGCGTTTCGAATTGGAGACTATACAAATCTGGAAAACTCGGACCGTCGTTCGAAAGTATGTACAGTCCCCTAGTAGAAAAATCTACAACGCCATTGAAATCTAAAGCTTCAGGGCTGACGTTCTTTCGGTTTTATGACGTTCTTGAAACGTGTTCGATATTTTGGCCAACGAAAAACTCAGTATCCCATTCACAGTAAAATTCAGATTTTTCTTTTCAGATGTTTTTATTTAGTACAAAGATGGCGTTGTGTCATGTCAGTTGAGACGACAATACCCATGATTAAAAGATTAAACAATCTTCATCTGTTATACAGTCAAGAGCATTTTAAAGTTTACATATTAAGTTTTATTTTCAACCCTATGTCACTTACAATAAGAACGTTTCAAAGTTATCCTTTGATCGACACGATCCGTGCCCAGTAGTGGCAGGAGTATTTATAGAGTACAGATGTTATTGACTTTTTGGAATTTCACGATGTTTACGACCGTGAAACAACTTCAATAGTTTGTTGTAATTATTAACACAAATATAAAGAAAAAATTCCTCGACCCTGCGTCTACTGTGTCACTCTGACAATTGAGCTAAAGGCCAGCAGGTCTACGAAATTCTTTAATGGGTCTGTTATAGACCTTTGCACTGGGGTTTTCAGCTTTAAACGTCGTAAGCGACACCTTGTGACAGATTTGTGAATCTTGTCACTCAGCTGTTACCTTTAAAGGTACCACAAGTTGATATCACCTTGTGATAGCTGTAAAGAGTATAATGTGGTCTGTATTGGAAGTATATTTTTGTATAAACGAATTCAACGACACTTTTTGAGGAATTCGAGGACCTCGAGGGGGTAGTTCTGCCGGGTGGTCGATTTGGCCGCACTGCGCGCTAGTTCCAAGGGGGTTACAGAGCTGTAACAAACAATAAATGTTTCATTTCAAATATAGTAGGTTTTTTTTGGAGATGGAGTAAAATGAGAGTTCTTTGTGCAAGTGTTGCCCGCTTGCAAGCAGCTAGTGATTTATAGCCGATTAAATGGACGTAGTTAAACAAAAAGGATTCAATGCACATCCAGTCATTGTCGAGATGTGGCAGAAGTCTTTCTCACTCTTGTTTTATTTTCAAAACTTACAATGTCATGTAACTCCAGAGGTATTTATTTATGTTTATATGTTGGATTTTTTTGCTGACCTAAGAGGTTGGACTTTTGGTACATATAACAATTTTTTTGATGATTTTGTGGATTGGATCCTTTTTGCTTAACTACAAATATTCCATCGACTATAGATTGAATGTTGGTTATGCTTATGCAAAATAATAGCGGAACTTGTTTCATTTGAATCATCATATGTCTATTATTCGTCCCACTGGTATGTATACACAGGTTCATTTGTTCATACATACACTACATTTAAAACTATATATGATATCAAGTAACGGGACGAACAAGTCGTGCGCCTGGCGGTAAACGACACGTCTGTCCATAACAGTTGCAATGCCACTCAGAATTTTAAATAAAATTGTCGACAGTTTTATCGATAGATTAAGGGTAAGGTTGCTGTGGCAGTACTCCTCAGATCTTTGCGGTTTAAAGTTCTGAGTGGCAATGCAACTGTTATGGACAGGCGTGTAGCTTACCATCAGGCGCACGACTTGTTCGTCCCGTCACTTGATATTATAAAAAAAAGATTGTGAAAGAAAGTAAAATTTTCTCTGAATTGTGAACCTTCTTTAATCCTATTTTGACAATGATACTAGTATCGAAATCAATTTTTAACCGACTCTAAAAAAGGAGGAGGTTGTCAATTTGACTGTATGTTTTTTTTGTATATATGTTACGTGTAACGGCATTTGTGAACCGATTTTGATGATTCTTTTTTTGTTGGAAAGAGGATACCTCGGGAGTGGTCCCATTTACATTTGAAGAAAATATTCCCTCTCTAAGGGTGGCAAACTAGGGGATGAATGACTTCTGAGGTCGGTTTTTTTAGTACTTTGTACTGAGATTCTTGTTCATATTATACATTTTAATAAGGACGTGTATTTGATTATCTATATTGAATTGAAATGAAAAACTTTAAAATGTGTCTCCTCTTGCATTTTTTGCATTCCTGCATAGCAGTAGAGCTCCTTGTGAAAGAGTACGTCCAGGTAAGTAATGCCACCTTATCTATTTCTGCCGCCAAGAGATATAAGGAATATTACGTTCCGATTTTTAAGGGTGAGATTACAGGCACATGGGATGGTCAACTCATATCTCAGCGTGATGGGCGCAGTGCCCCTCAGGGCTTTGCGGCTTGTTCGTGTTATTGTCGTCAATAGTGAATTACCTTCTGTTTTGAGCATGAGCAAGTTTCTTCCACTGCTTGCGGTCCAGGTGTCTGAATAGAAGCAGCAGAAGGTGCAGGTCGCAGGTGGGGGAGTTCACAGCCAGGTGCACGCACGTGTCTGCGCCCTTCACGTCCTGTTGAAACATGAAATGTGTTACAAACTTGGAGAATGACTACATTATCTTTGTCACGCAATCAAAACTAATATTATAAATGCGAAAATAACTATATTTGAGTCAGGTTAGAGACTAAAACAACTGTGACCTTGAACAGTAAAACCAGCCAGTTTCAATTGATCTGACATTACGTATTTCTCCAATTAGGTTTGCCCCGAAAAATGAACCACAATAAAAATTAGATCAGAATAAAGAATAACGCACCATGTTGTAATAACATTTTTTTTACGTATAAGTTTGACGCCTAAACCGCTGAACTAATTTTGATGAACTTTGGTATAGGTACTTTTTGTCTCAAAAATAAAATCTTAAAAGGTTGCAATAGGGGTGAAATGAAACAGTACAGTACTCGAAGCACGTATTCTAAGCAGACGAAGTGACGGGCATCACCTATTTCGACGTAATTTTCCTTGAATCTTGATTGTCTACTACTTCTTGTAAAAGCACAATGTCCCAAAATGCTTTCGAAGTGAAATTTTAAGAAAAGCTAATTCTGCTCTTTAATATTGCAAACGCTAAAAAAAAAGGATAAAAACTTCCGTGTGCAAAATATTAAAGAAGAAATTATTAAAATTCATAAATTTTATTTACTATTTATGTTACTATTTACCGCGTTTCCTTTAACAACCTGTGAGTTTTGAGAGTTTTAAATAAGTCGCGTTTGGAATGCGTCGAGTTTGAATTGCGTACAGTTTGGAAAGCGTCTAGTTTGGATTGCGTCGAGTTTGGAATGCGTCGAGTTAGGATTGCGTCGAGTTTGGAATGCGTTAAGTTTGGAATCACTTACTCCTCGCCAAATATCGACCCCGGCGTGTTCCAACAAAACGTGAGCGACGTGAAGTCGTGGCGAGCTGGCGCTGTGCAGACGACAGGCCATGTGCAATGCTGCATAACCTGTAATTGGTTTAGGAATTTAGACCTTTTTCAGAGTTACGACCCGGAGTATGGTGATTAGCAGACTTCTTGAGGTATATTGGTCCATTGGCTCAAATTGTACTCTGAGATGGAATTCGAGATAAAAAATGTGTTACCATTACAAAAAAATATTTTAAGAATCGTGGCAATGTGAAAAGGTCTACAAAAAACAATAAAATGTTACGAAAACATAATTTTATTAATACACCTTTACAACACAAGCAAAAACTGGTTTTTGTGCTAAGTTTTTTCTTTATGTTTGGATAAATTATCTTTTTTTTTCCAAAAATTAACGAAAATCATTTTTAACTTATTTTCAAGCACGTCGCTTGCTGTTGATGCCATAAAGGTCGCAGCTTACCCTCGGTATTGACGTGATGCACGTTGAAAAGCGGCATTTGGTGCTGTTCGCGCACGGTCAGCTCGTACAGCACGTCGGCGAACAAGTCGCCAGCGCGCGCGCACGCAAGCACGAGATTGTCGCCTTGCGCGTCGATCTATAAGAGAATCAAGTACGTTGTTAGCTACATTGAAAACAATTTGTCACTAAAAACATCCAGAATATTTCAAGTTAAAAACACTACTTCTCTTACTTTCTTGTTAAAAGATTATGTAAGTGTGTTCCTATTATAAAAATCTGGAGATGTTGAAGGACACGTGGAAATTAATAACACTATTTTTATGCCACTAAGTGAAGTAATCGCGAAGATCTGAGGACCCCTGCCACCGCGCCTGTCACCCTGAGACATAAGTTAACAAGTCCCATGTGCCTATGATTTCATCAGCACCTCCTAACCCTTCAAACCCGAAAGGCAGTAACGCTCACTGCTGCTGGCGGCAGAAATAGGTAAGATGGCAGTACTTCACTGGATGAACACTTTCACTTGTTGTCCGTTTTGTTTGTGTCTACATATTAAATAAATTGACACAAATTTAATGATGCTATGTACATTAAAAAAAATTCGCTTCCTCAATATGTCTTACCTCATTGAAGACACAGTCTCGGCCGTCTACAGCACTGGGATCCGCTCTTATGGCGACTCTGACACACTGCACTAGATAGCGAGTGAGTAGAGGCCGTTTGAAGCAACGCAGAGCGGCCGATTTCAAAAGCGCCAAGCCTTTAAAAAAAAATTAAGGTCAGTGGGGGGGTAAGAGGCACACCAGGGGAATAGGGACTTGAAGCCTTAAGTCACAATCTGAAGAGTTTAAGCTTGCTCAAGGCTACGCGGTAAGTGCGCAGCACAAGTGCTCATACAAATAATTAATTTATGAACATTCGGTTCCGCACACGGCTGGCAACGTTATTTTCACCTCTCTGAGCGCGTGTGTAGGTTCCTTTTTCCTCGTATGAACGCCTGGTGTCATTAGTCAAATTAAGTAGGCTATTATAGCGTAAGTATTTTCGATTTTGTATGAGTGATGTATCTGTTGCGTAGTAACTATTATTTTAATTTATTTATATTAAGTAATCTGTGCTAATATAGCACAGATCGATTCCTCCAATGAACACTGCGATAATTTTATTTTTTGATTATTTTTTATTTTCCGTTATTTTTGTAAACAGACATATTTATTTACTAATATTATGCTCCCGAATTTTGTGAAAAAAGAAGCAAAATAACATGAAAACGAATTTTGTGAAAGAAGAAATTAAGAAACATCAAATCAGTACAGAGTACTAAAAAAAATCTACCTCAAAAGTTCGTGTAATTACATCTATATGATAAATTTTATTGAAATCGGTTACCGGAAAGTGTGAGAAACCGGATTCATACCCTAGTTTGCCACTCTTAGAGGTGGAATGTTTTCTTGAAATTTAAATGGGACCACATCTGAGGTACCACCTTTCCAAACCCGGTGCCGCGGATGCCATGGACACACACATAGACAACCACAAATTACACCCAAATTCACGAGAGAAATAAATGTACGCCATACAAATATTTCTCCCGGCCTGGGAATCAAACCTGGGACCTCTGCGTGGGCGTGGTAACAGAAAATAGATCCAATAATTAAGGTGGCGTGGTGTCCATTGGCGGTACCGAGACAATATAATACTATAATAGCTCAGATATCCAATCTTATACAAAGAAATGCCGCACTCGTAACTCCGATTATTCGAACGCTTATTTCAAGTATTATTTTCGCACGATTTCAAAATAAAATGCAATTTTGAGTAAGTCTGAAACGTCTTAAAAAGTTACGTCCTCAGGCTTATTTTGAACCGACTTCAAAAAAAGGACGAGGTTATACGTTCGGCTGTATATGTTTACAGATATCTCCGTCAATTGTGGACCGATTTTGAAAATTCTTTTTTTATTTAAAAGGGTGCACTCTCATGGTGGTTCCATTGTCACCAAGTCAGAATCTGATTAGGGGATCCCATGAAAATCCAAGGAAATCCTCAAATTTTATAGCTATGTCGGTGTATATCCCATTTCTCCATCAATTGTGCACCGATTTTCAATATTCTTTTTTTGTTTGAAAGGGTATAGTCTCGTGTGGTCCCTGATGCTGTTCCGGGTTCGTTTCGGCCATCACAGATTACTACTTATTTTCCGCAAATAAAAGTCGGCTTCTTATTTGACATACTCGTACATGTAATCAACAAATTACTGTCACCATGGCAACCAGTAAAAAGTATAAAATGTACAAAGGCGTCCGTAACAGTCCCATTGTAACTAAGAAGTTAGAATCTGATGAGGAGACCCCATGGAAATCGGTTTGTTTTTCAATGAAAAAGTTACAATTATTAAAATAATAGTGCTTTTTTTTATTAATTTCATTATTATTCATTTAAAACTTACCCTGTTCACCAAGGAAGACAGCGGGTTGTTGCGATAGCATCCTTTCGCAGAGAAGAACGATCAACGCCATCTCCTTATCTGGCTGTACGCCGTGCTGGGACAGGCTCCAGAGAATGTTATGGAGGACGCTGGAAGCAGAAAACGACTTTTTATTTAGCAGCTGTCATCCATATCAACAAAATCCGCCAACGCTAGTCGTCAATGCAATCTATATGCCCTAAATCTTAGAATAATAACGCATAGAAACCTAGTCCGCACACGCTAAGTGAGGCAAATTGAAGCGCGCCCAATGGGCCTACACGAGCGGGCGGGCCGTCAGTGCTCAAGGTCAACTTGCACCGCGAACAGCTCAAGAATTTTAGCTAAAAGGGTAAATGAGTGTAAAAATACATCAGACAAACATAAAACAGAAACTAACATCACATTCCACAAGGAAGTAACGCGTTTCAACTTGTATTTTTATATAAATATTCACTAAAACCGAAAATTAACCTACTACTAAAACTAGCCTACATGAATTAGATTTTTGCCTCACTTGTGACAGTTCGTGTGATATGAAACTATCATTCTGTGCGTTATTATTCTAAGCCCTAAATATAGTACGTTATTACAAAGGCTGTATGAGTATGTGTTACTTTTATTATTTGTATAATGTCAAGTCACGGGACGAACAGGTCGTGCGCCTGATGGTAAGCCACACGCCTGTCCATAACAGTTGCAGTGACACTCAAAGCTATAAATCTGAAAGATCTGAGGGGCACTGCCACTGCGCCTGTCACCCTGACACATAAGTTGTAATTTCACCAGCAACCTTACCCTTCAAAATCGGAACACAACAATGCTAACACTACTGCTTAGCGGCAGAAATAGGTAAGGTGGCAGTACTACCCTGGACGAACTCTTTCACAAGGAGCTCTACTGCTACCGACATATACAGGGTTATTGTTTGTTTTTTATATAAGCCCACAAGCACGCTTATAATTTTAAATTGTAAGAGTCGTTCAGTTCAACTCAACAATATAATTTTTTACAACGTCAACGTTAAAGGTTCGTATTCTAGAACTCTACTCAATGCTCAAGTCAGGATTTGAATATGGTTTAAAGCATTCGAAATCATACTCAAGTCCCTGCCATTAGGGTCGTATTTCCAGTGCAATCCTGACTTGAGCATTGAGTAAGAATACGACCCTAAGTGCCAAGTCGCGCCATCTGTGCTTTCTAAACAAATTAATTCGTCAATGCGAATAATGCTACAAATAAAAATAAAATTTTTTACAAATAAACTTACTTATCTTAAAACCTTAAGTAGCCTACTCTCGCTTTTCCCTGTCGATACTATGTTGCAAGCTTTTTAAAACAATGTCTATGGGCTTACACGTTTTTTTCAACGATTGTAAGCTTTAAACTAAAAACGTTTAAGTGAAAAGGTCTTTTATAAGCACGCTTATTTAAAAAGTATGTACAAAGCGTTAACGTTTAAAATTCATAAGCAGTTTACTACAACGTAACGTCGTCGCAACGCCCGTATGGTATCGCTCTTACTGTCGTATCTTTAATCGTTATGTAAATTTAACAAGGCCATGTTTTGGGTTAAACATTTCACTTCTTGTAGCTTGTGTCAATGTTGTTTTATCTATGAGATATATTTATACAGTATTAAGATCTCTTTGTGAACGTGTCCAAGGAAGTACTGCCACCGCACCTATTCTTTCAAGCAGTAACATGGGTCTTGTCAACTTCATGTCTTAGGGTGATGGGCGCATTGGCAGGGCCCATTGTTCCCACTAGTTCTATTTCATAGATCTATAATTATCTCAGAGTACTAAAAAAACCGACCTCAAAAGTACGTGGAATTACGTTTATTTGCTAAGTTTTATTGAAATAATAAATAAACGCACACACTCAACATAGCCCCGCACTAGGGAAACCCTGTGTCGCGGGTGCCATCGACACACATATAGACAACCACAAAGTACACCCAAACTCACGAGAGAAATAAATGTAGGCCATACAAACATTTCTCCCGGCCCGGGAATCGAACCTGGGACCTCTGCGTGGCAGTCCGGCATGGTAACTGTTCGGCCACGGAGGCAGTTAAATATCCCCTAGTTCGCCACTATACATGACTTGACCCTGGAGATAATAAAAATAGGTTCTCACTACGACACTACTCAAAGTAACTTGTCTAAGTATATTGAGAGAAAAACGCCTTGAATTGGAGAAATAGCAAAATCAACCATTAAAGTTATTGCTCCTAAATTAAATTAGGCGCTATTTATAAAAATGAATCTTCATGCGTGAACAGCCACCCTTCGAGGTGGATGATTTTCTTCAAAATGAAATGGAACCACTATGGAACCCCTTTCCAACAAAAAAAGAATCATGAAAATCGGTTCACAAATACCTGAGTTATCGCGTAACATACATACAAAAAAAAAAGAAAAATAAACATACAGTTGAATTGAGAACCTCCTCCTTTTTTGAAGTCGGTTAATTATAGAACTAGTAGGAAAAAACCAACCAAGTAGTTATATGGACTTAGTTCAATTTTTTTCCGAAAATATAAATACGATCACGTAACTCCTTTTCAAATGATTTTATAGTGAATTTAGTTATATTTATCTCCATTTTACTTAGCGGTCCTCCGAAATCGTTAAGAATTTTTATCCTTTAAAATGTTATTCCAATAGTTTTGTTACAAAGATCGAACACAGAAAAATTTCTTCGACCCGGTGGGACATGAATCCCACGATCATGCTGCACCGTAGCATTGCTCTTACCAACTGCGCCACAAGTCAAGTTACTTATGTGTACAGCCAAGCCATAACTATATGTTTTTTCCCATTAGTTCTATTATTATTGAAATATAATTTAATAACAATAATAGACCTAATGCGATTTTTTCGTCCCAGTAGTTCTATATTAACTTAACTGCGTCTGTGGCCGAACGGTTACCATGCAAACTGCCACGCAGACGTCTCAGATCGTATCGTCTCCGATTCCCGGACCGAGAGAAATATTTGTATGGCCTACATTTATTTCTTTCATGAGTTTGTCTTTGTGTGTGTCTATGGCACCCGCGACACAGGGTTTCCCCAGTGCGGGGCTTTGTGGAATGTGTGCGTTATTATTATTATTATATTCAATAGAACTACTGGGTAGTACGTTTCTAGCTCTCATAAAAAAAATCTGATTAGTAAGATTTTTTAATTAGACGTTAAAAACCAATCATGAAGCTTCTCTGGTACTTGGCCTATTGTTTGTTTTTTGATAGCGCCGTATTAAATGCTCTTTGTACATATTGATTGTTGTTCCGCGTGTACGTAAAACAGTTTTTGGATCGAATTCTCCCGTCTCAAGATTGGCCAGCCCGAATTCGAAATAATCGACGAGTATCGTCATTGTTTCACTTGAAATCGACCAGTTTAACTTGAGCTTTGCTATAATGGACGAAAATTACAAAATTACGTATTTCATTACCTATAAAAAGTGATTCCGTTTCTTTTTAACCGACTTCAAAAAAGGAGGAAGTTCTCAATTCGACTGTTTCTTCTTTTTTTTTTGTATCTATGTTACGCGATAAATCCGGTATTTGTGAACCGATTTTCATGATTCTTTTTTTGTTCGAAAGGGGGTATTTCCATAGTGGTCCCATTTCTTTTTGAAGAAAATCATCCACCTCAAAGGGTGGCTGTTCACGCATGAAGATTCATTTTTATAAATAGCGCCTAACTTTAATTTAGGAGCAATTACTTCTAGCAATTATTTAGTTGATTTTGCTATTTCTCCAATTCAAGGCGTTTTTCTCTCGATATACTTTGAGTAGTGTCGTAGTGAGAACCTATTTTTATTATCTCCAGTATCAAGCTCTGTATAGTGGCGAACTAGGCGATATTTCAATCAAACTTAGCAAATAGACGTAATTCCACGTACTTTTGAGGTCGGTTTT